TGTTATATCCGGACATAATTCCTAACTGGCGTGCTTACTATTAAAGGAATCCTACAATTATTTGTTATATTTCGTACTAAAGATCATTAATTAGGGCCCTGAAAACTTTATTACTGATCCTGTACTGCAAGGAGGGCTCTTTTAAGGCTTACACTAATATTGAAACTTCCCGCAAAATAAACTTCTCCTTTTTGACCCAAGATAAGCTGTTACCATTAATAAATAACCACAAATACCCCTGCAATTCAAATTACAATTATCCTAAATGAAAGTTATTATTTCGTTAATCCCGGGAACAGCTTGTAAAGGGAGATTGGGGTCCGTCTTTAATAATGTTAAAGTTAATGCGGGTTCCCTTGTAATTATCTTGTTGCTTAATCTAGACGTTTAGCGGAAAGAGACCGAATGGAGATCTGCGAAGCGGTTGACGTAAGATGTTTGTAATTGTTGGCATAAACAGACGAGACTGTGAAGCAAAGTGCATAAGAGCTCAGGTCTAGGCAAATCATTTATCTGAACTTGTTATTCAAATAAAAAAAAAGATGAAGAGAAGATATATTTGTAACGTAAACCAGTAGTGGGTGGTTCAACGATATGGGGTGAATAAATACAGTAAATCTAATGAATAATTCTAGATTTCACATTCAGTTTCCCGGAGAAGCACGACTTTGCTGCATTTGCAGGCCAGCGCTACAGTTAAATGAACACTTTTCTCTCAAATTAAAGGCACAAATCAAATCTAGCATTTTGACACGCTGCACCCGAGGAGTAAAACGGAATATTCGAAATATTCTGAGACACTTGGAGTTCTCTGTTCTGAATGTTATACATCATATCCACCGAATATACAGTATATGTTAATTGGTATATTATTGTGTACAATTTTACGTGTTGCGCTGACTCAACCTTTCGATAGAATTCTTTATTGTAATGGCCTCAGTGTTAAGTAATATTAATAATAAAAACTTCGTATATTCTGAAAACCCCTTTGAATTCAACAATGGAATAAGCGGTTACATGACAGATTAATTCAAAACTGATACGGTACTGGCATTAAACATTAAGTTAAAATTAGTTATAATGTCAAGAAGGATTTATGAAGTGGATTTTACAGCCGTGTGGTTTCCAAACTTTTAAGGTTGTAGCATCTTTGAATTAATGTCTCAAACAGACGTATAGGTAAGTGAAATCTGCCGGCTTCAGAAAGAGAGAATTGCAACCAATTGACAGAGAGAGAGAGAGAGAAAAAATCTTGATCGGATTTTATGGAAAATTGGTGGCAATTAATCCTTTAGGATTGAAAAAAGGGAAACGCCTCTTCTAACAGTAGCAGATCCTTTCTTGGAGCTGATTGGGCCCAGGAGCTATCCGTGGAGTGCGCACCGAGGATAAATTGATCTCCTTGTGCCCTCTCCCGGTCCATCATCCGAGCTGAGGTTCGCGAAGGGCAAAGTTTCAGCGCAGACGAGCACCATGACCGGGAGAGACGAGCCCACGGATGGGAAAGTCAAGGGAAAAGTCTTAGCACCCAGTGTCGGAAACGACAAAGCAGCGCGGGTCAATGGATCTGGCTTCAGGACCAAGGGCTTTGCTATCACAGACCTCCTGGGATTGGAGACGGAGCTTCAGCCCTCGCCCGGACCCGGAGCCGGTGCCTCTGGCGACGGCCACAGTGCCGCGATAGGGGGCTTCACCTTCGCCGGCGGCTCCCTGCCCCTCGGCCTGGGCTTTCTGTGCAGCCTGGCAGCTCACCAACCTCCAGGGAGTCCCTGCTTTCTCCCGAGTCATCTCACCCTTCTGCAGTCGAGGACAGAAAACCATTATATGCAAAATATGGATCAGCAAAAGGAAAACTACTCCGGTACTTTTATTTTTTAAATACATCTAATTCGACATCTTTGAATGCGCCACTCAAGTTAACGGAAAAGTTAAATAAATAATTACATATGTGTTTTTTCCCATCTTCTGAAATAACAATTAAAATTAAAAATGGCCATCAACACATTGGGCGTATTACTACTTTCCAGCACCTGTTTAAGTTGTGACATGAAGATGTAGCAGATTGTTTCATTGCGTTTTCTTTTTCTTAAATATTTACCAGCGAAGTAACAACAGTTATCACAGGGGGATAAAATGTACAGAAGGACAGAGTTGCAAAATGCTACCAAAACAGAAAGGGTCAGATCATTTGAAAAGTCACACTATGATCGTCAGCAATTCATACTTCACCATTGTCAAAATATTAATCTCATCAATACAGCGAACTACAAACCGTTTTCTTTTATTTACCCTTTCCATCTGGACTAGGAAATTATTTTAAAACCAAAGAATTATTGAATATTTTCGTTATAGAAACGCCATATTTTAATGTAAACTAAAAACCATAGTTTGTAATACTGTATTAAACTACATTTAAACACGAACATTTAATGGGGGATGTTAAATAATGAGAAAGGGTTACTTTAAAAACAGCTTTAAGAAAAACTTGGTTTATCTGCAAACATTTATTTTTTCAATTTTTTGAGTGTGTCGAAGAGTCTACGCGTTAAGTGGCCTGTTTGTGTTCAATGATTGGATGAAGTTAGTCAAACGACTTGTAATATTTTAATGAAATGTTTATTCCAACCCTCAGACGACGACAGTCTATCTGGGGATCGAAGCGACGCAAAGAATTCAGCAAACTCGCAGAACAAGCGGAAGAAACGGAGACACAGGTACTTCCCTTTGTATTAACAAGGAAAAAGAAGTTAAAAACACGATTTTAATTAATAAACGAGGCGTAGAATAATTAAAATAGTGAGGTAAATAACACAACGAAATGTCCTGTTTTAAAAGAAGTGGCGCTGACATTCTCGGCAGGTCGGCGCTGTGTGGTAAAAACAGGGTTACTCTTGAGCGCGTTGGCAAAATTCCTTCGCTCCCAATCTTGCAGGACGGTGTTCACTGCCCACCAGCTGGAGGAACTGGAAAAGGCCTTCCATGAAGCCCACTATCCAGACGTCTATGCCAGGGAGATGCTAGCGATGAAAACCGAGCTGCCTGAGGACAGGATACAGGTACGGCCAGGCGCCAAGCCGCCCCCAGTCGGGAATACGCCGCCCTCGTCGATAAGTGCGTCGTAACGCCAGCATCTTCACATGTTCAGCACACCCTCAGAATTAGGCGGAAAGAACTGAGTTTGTCGTGCAGCGATTTTATTTTTCGTGAGGTAAACATGATTTTACCTTTGGACACATTTAAACCGCGGCGGTTTCTATTAGAACCCTTTTTATTGATTTAAAATACCCTGTGACGTTAACCCGCACGACACAATTTGACACCTTTTCGAAACGATCCCTAGACATATTAATTCAACCCTGCATCCCCTTTATTTTGCCTTCGATTGAATCATTACAAAACTCCTCTCGGCGCAACCTTATTAGGAAACGTGATGTATTGAACTCGTCCTGCACTTTTTTTTTTTCTCCCGCCACTGCTTATCGTGCAAACCTGCATCTTTTTCTCGCAGTAACCTTTCCGCCTCCTGCTTCCCAGGTCTGGTTTCAGAACCGCCGTGCGAAGTGGAGGAAGAGGGAGAAGTGTTGGGGCCGGAGCAGCGTGATGGCGGAGTACGGGCTGTACGGCGCCATGGTCCGGCACTCCATCCCCCTGCCCGAGTCCATCATCAACTCGGCCAAGAGCGGTATGATGGGTTCCTGCGCTCCCTGGCTACTGGGTGAGGGACCAGCCTGTCCTTCATTGTCCCACGGTGCTTTGACAACGTACAGTAGTGCCGCAGACTAGCCCTAGGCGGTCTGTTTTAGCCAGGATTAAGATTTACCCATAAATACACCCCAACTCTTCGCGTCCACTGCTTTACCGGGGTGGATTTTGTTTGACAGCTGTGGCTACCCAGTAACATTTTAAACACGTTTCACACCTCCAGCTTACTTTTCTAACGCGTGTAGCAGCCTGCTTGATGTCACTATCACAGTGTTGGCGCCAGGTCGGTGGTTTGACTTACTCTTCGCCCGTTGACCCGTTTAGGAATGCACAAGAAGTCCTTGGAGATAACGAAGAAAAACCACAGCAAGGAAGAGGCCGGCAAACCCGATTCCCCCTCGGAGGAAACGAGGACGAAGGGGAACGACAACCAGTGGACAAATCAGGCGAACACCACCGATGAACCCGAAGACATGGCGATTGACCTTTCAAGCACGGCCAAGCAGGAAAAAAACTGCAGTTTGAAAACGGCGCATTCCAAGGACTCCTACAATGAGACAGACAGCGAAACTTAAATTTCCCATAGATCAGGCATGGCCCAGACCTGTTCCTGGAGTGCTGTAAACCCAGCACGTTTGAAAGGTCACCCTCACACCGTCAATTTGTAAAGACATCGTAACTCTTGCGAGTTTGAATGAGTTTAATCAAATTAGGAATGGCTCGCTGTAATCCTTAACAGTTTGGAGTTTACATCTCAAACGAGCTCTTAGCTACCTAATCGTACAGGTGAAAGGTACAACACAAAAGTGGAACAGCAAGAAATTGATGGTTTAAGGGTGACCCACAAAAGCTGTTGGACAAGGCGTGTCTCACTCTGCGAGATAACGCAGGTGTCCTGGACATTTGAGGTGCAGATCAATTAAATACTGTATGAAGAGAGACTTCAAATGCGGAAACGTCTCTGAACTATAGCAAGCCAAGTTTACATCAGCTTCCCCGGGTTGTATTCTTATTTGCCAAGAATATGAAGTGAAAATATTATGATGTATAATTTAAAGTTTATTAATTTAAAAATGTGAATTATATACTTGCGTTGTATTGTTAATTTAAAAATTTTCGTTGGAAAAATGCACTTCTTTATGAAACAGAATATCAGGCACATGTTAATCAACAGTCTTTGACATAGATTTTTAGAAAATGTGAAGTCTTTTTTCTGATCACGTTTTGTCCACTGTATAAAAGGGTAGTATTTTAAAAACTTGTTAAACCTCTTCAAGCATTGAGTTATTATCCACTACAATATTTTCTATCCAGTTCTTCTTGTGAACTCACAAGAAACTATTACTGAAAGGAAAAAAAAAGTAATTTACCAGAAGCGATTTCTGGATATGCTATACTATTCTGCACTACACGATGGGGACTTCTTTTTAGAAACTGAAAGCCATATATTTGACGGAAAAATTGTTTAGATTTATTAAAAAGAATGCAACTTTATAAACGACATATCTTGTTCCACAAGATACGTGTATCTCAAGCACTTTATTTGTGTGGATGTTCAAAGTTATTATCAGGTCATCTAATATGGATTAACGTAAAAGCAATGTCAACAACAGCAATAAGCCTGAAAAGCAGAAATAAAAAATATTTTGTGCAATCTTGTCTTATCTGAAATTTTATTGATCCATATTTTAAAAGAGCCCAGAGTCTTTACCTGTGTTGTGGCACATTATAGAAGGTGTTCCTTATCATTCTTGGTCTGAAACCTAATTTTTGGAGCTTTTCTTTAGTGCTGCAGTGAGAATAGTATGGTGACATTCACAGCTGTGAGTGATATTAGCTGTTAACTGGCAGAATGACATTGAGTAAGTAAGAACCTGAATCATTTTGGCTTCCTTTTCAACACAACACAGACGTGTTTCTTTAAGCATATGTTTAAGTAGAGACAGATCACAATGCTCCCAGTAGAGCAAATATAAAGCAATCACATTTTTTCTAATTATGAAAACAAATGATCAAGATAATTTCTGGAATTAAGAAGATAGAGAATCCTAAAAAAAGATGAATGCAATTTTAGGATTAATTCGATTTTAGCAAAGAGACAAGTTCGCTAAACCAAATACCATTCTTTCATGTGTAACAATTCTGTTGTTTTACTTTTCTGATAGTAATTTGCTTCATGTAAGCTGTTGTGCACCTTAAAACCTGCTGTGTGTCTACTGTTTCTAAGTCTGAGTTAAATAATGGGGTCAACTGATGGCACTTTACTGACAAAGATATATTATGAGCTACAGTACTTGTGGCCCATGTAAGGTTTATTGAAATATTATGATCACTGAAGAGCAAATGGTCTAGGTCTAAAAAAAGAATAAAATAAAAACAAACCAGATTTTCTTCAGTCACAAGAATTCTATAGATGAAACAAAGAAAGTTACTTATTTTCTCAGCAGTGCTGTTGTTGTGCTACATTTTAATTTACTGTCATATCAGTTTAAATATAGATGTCAGTTAAAATGTCCTAATGGCCTGTAAAAGAGTTCTTAAGGTAGAAAATACAGTAACCCCTCCCAGACAGAGCTGCCGTGCCAAGATCATACTGAAGAGCCTCGCATGCAGCAGATCGTTTTCTGCTTTCACACACAATAGTTGTCTTCCATTGTTTGACGAGGGTGAATGCAAAGGGAATTACATTTCCAGTCGCTAACTTTTGTCAGTATGAAATTGGCTTCAGTAAAATAACAGTTTAAATAGGTTTCTCACTCGCTGTCTTCTTCAGCTCTGAGCAACTCAGGGCTCATTTTCGAGAAAACAAAAGGTCCCACATGTGAAATAAATTCAGTTCTTCTGACAGATTGGAGACTATATAAAGTTTTCCAGTGACAGTAATACTGTACATAACCTATATGTTTTCCACTGAATTCCACCAAAAGCCATTAAACACATTTCATTTTCATTTCATTCCAGACAGATCTAATATCTGTAGGATATTAGAATTAAGAGTCCCCCTGCTAAATAAACAAGATAACACTGCCACTACCCTAATTGATTTGTTGCTTTAAAGTTTAACATTAATCTCTAGTCATGTCGTGTGGGAAGTTAATCTAAATGATTTTTTAAAATCCTGTCTGTAATCATACTTAATTCCCATTTAATGGTCACAAATCACATAACTGTGTTTTTTTAGTTCTATTGTTCTTTAAGGGACAGTAGGCTTTACAGAGATCTAATCTAATTTAATTTCGTAGGTCATGAGCTTTTGTATGGAATCGACTTTTAATTCTGGCTTGATTTGTTGTCAATAATGGCATTAGAGTATACGAATAATATATTTCCAGCCCTCTTTTTATGTTAATCTGCCTTTTCTCAACAACAACAACAACAACAACAACAACAACAACAACAACAACAACAACAACAACAACAATGGTAAAGCGAGTTACTTATTAAGATTTTTGTTCCCTTTCAATTATCTCAGGCTAATTTTTATTCAATTACATCTGGATCATATAATATATTGTACCACAAACTAATAAAATGTCTTAAAGTCATGTTTCCAGTATTGATTTGTTTTTACCACCTCTTCAAATGTTTTTGTTTCGAAAGATCTAGATATTTTTTCCCTCTTTTTCTTAATCACATAATGATACAGCGCAGGCACACAGGCACATTTGTAGTGCTCCGGATACAAATTCTCTGATACATTAATCAACATTAAAGTGCATTAGAATACATCAATGGGAATTTCAAGGCAATTTCAAAATACAGGGCAGGATAAACTGATCGGAAAACAAGTTATTTCAGTAATCGTTTTTGTCGTGGATGAAAAAACAACAGATTATCAGTAAAATCTGAGATTAGAGACACTTCATCTAGTGGCACTAATAACATTATTCAAAGTGAAGAATATTAAATCAAATTAAAATGCCAAATACTGAAACGCCCTACAAATCTACAAAGTATTAATGTACATTCCACAACCCCCAACCCAATAATAAAATTGTTCTTGACTGTGCAAAACCTGTGGTATAGAGTCTCTTTTTAAAATTAAATATGACACAGAGACAAAATTGTAAATACTTCACTCCCTCTAAACATATACTAAAAACGAACAAATCTTTTCCTTAATGAACACATCTTCCAAGGGATAAACTATGGGTATGGTTTTCCAGTGTGTACTAAACTAATTACAGCTTGGGAAGAAAACAGGCAATAAAATGTTGTCTGTCTTGAGCTCTGAACTGGCTGTCACTGACTCAACTGATCATGAGCAACTAACACCCTGCTGGTACTTTGGAAAGATTGCAAAAAAAAATGGTTTTACTCTGTTCTGCATTTTCTGCTTTTCAACACACCTGTGCTCATTCTTTGGGTTTATTCCATCCCTGATCTCAATTACTCCCCATCTAACTTTCCAATCACTTCAACCCACTCAAGGTCACAGGGAAGTCAGCTCCCAGCAATCAATGGGAGCAAGGCTAGACACAGCCTGGACAGGACACCAGTCCATCACAACACACACTCACACTCACACCATGGCATGTTTTTAAAAGGAGACAGTTAACCTACCAGGAGGTGTTTGGACTGTGGAAGGAAACCCATGAAAGCAGAGGGAGAACATGCAAACTCCACACAGACAGCACCCCAGGTCTGGAAGTGAACCCAGAGCCCCAGCACTGCAAGGCAGCGCTGCACCACCACGCCATCCACGTTAGATCTGCTCACACTTATTGTGTTTAATGTCATTCATTTTATAAAGTCATACTGTATGATGCCGCTCAAAAAATGTTCAGTTCAAACAGCAGGCTGTTAATCTTCATTTTGTTTCTTTCGTAAAAATGAAAGAAGTCTGAGCCACCGTGCTGAAGTGGGTGAGTGTGCAGACAAGCCCACCTCCAGGAAACACCCCTTCTGTTATCAACACCCATCTCGTACGGAAGGTGAATCGCCCACAGTTCACGGCATTCATTTCACAGGGGGCTATACTATTTTCGTATAAATAAGACAGCAAACGTTAATTACAGCTTCCAAATACTTTGTGACTCTTTAATGTTTCAATGAGCGGATCGCCTGTCAAAAGCTCAGTCATTCCTGCTGCTCAACCTGCAGCGGAAAAAAAAAATATATATAATGAACTCGGGATAATCTGCGAAACTGGCAGGATTTCAGACAATTAGTTCGTCAATATGCTATCAAACTATTCCAGATGCCCTCCAGCTGTCCAGTTAAACTGCTCAAAGATATTCTTTCCACACAGGTTAAAATGCTAGCCTGAGGTCAGAATACACCCCGTGTAAATGCGCTGTGGATTCTTGTGTCATTTTCCGCGTTGTTTGTTATTGTAGAAACTGTTCATGACAGCTAGGTGTCAGTGCTACACCTCACTGTGGCTTACTCTCAGTTGCAAAGCCTGGGAACAGTTTTAATCACAAAATACCGTGCACTGGAAAGGAGATACAAGATATTTACTCTAGTGTTTGCATATGAAGCCTTCATTATATTAATGTGTGCGAGCTTTGATTTTAAACGAATCTTTGTATCTGCTGCTCACCTTGTTGTAAAGATCACGATGGTGTTATCAACACTGCAGATGTGCTCTTCTGAACACTCAGCTAAAGCACTCATTAAATACAGCGGTTACAAAACAAAGACACAAAACTGCTGTTCTCATTAAAAACAGTGTCAGTGTCGGGATGAATTACAAACCTGCAACGCACGTAAGAAATACATTTAAACTACCGATGAGCTCTTCACAGGTGAATTAATGTGTTTAATTTAGGTACAGAGCTTCAACTGCTCTTCATATAATACATAGCAGCATATCAACAGAGACCCTGACCTATGTTCAGAGGTTGAAAAGTGTGAGCATAAATAATAAGTGAAAAGATGCTTCAGGTGTTATGCACTACAAGTGTACAGAATGAATGAGACCTATCGGCCAGATGTTAACTGATGTTATCCATGTGTGTACTGTATTACTGTGTTGAAACACTTTTTTTTTACTTAAGTAAAATAGTTAATATAAACATTCAGTTTAAAATCTGTGGTTCACAATAAATAAAAGACAGACGTTGTTCAGACTGAGGTTCATGTAAACCTGTCAGTGGTCAGTATGGAGCGGTACAATGTCAGTGGTTCAGAAACTGTATCGTGCGCAGTGCTGCGGTAGACCGACCCGCCACTAGAGGGAGCTATGTGGCCTCTCATGTTCGTATATGGGATAATTTGAGGAGAATTATTAGTTAATTGGTGAAGATTTAGGAATGCCACATTTTCACATAGTTTCTTCACAAATGCAAGCTGTTAACTGACGTTTGGGAGGGATAACAATGATTAGAAACAGCAATACCACAGCCGAGAGATTATCTTTGGGATTCATAAGGTGAAAGAGATGCACAGATCCAGGAAACTATTCCTGAAGAGTTAGACCTTTTGTAGCATGTAAATTTAAATTTGTTACATTATTTTTCTGTGATGAACAGTACTCTGGGTTGGGTTCAAATGTTGGTTAATCTGCAAAAGCAACCAGAAGACTAGTAGGTCTGCAGAGAGTCTGGCCAGTGAATGATTCCGTGTTAGTGCAGGATTCCTAAACAAACTGAAGTGGGTAAGAACACTCGGACACTATCCAGTCTTGCCAGTTTACTGGAATATCTACAGGATTGTAACGGGAGCCGGTCCTGACTCCCACATAGTGCGTAGTTTCGGACCCTGTGCAGACATTATAATCCAGAAGAGACTGGAGAAGGGCTACTGGGAAAACAGTTAGGAAAGGAAGGGATGGTGAACAGGGGCAGTGCCAACAGGGGTCAGGCGCAGGCGAACAAGTCCAGGGAAGTCCAATACAGGAAATCCGGGCACAGCCCAAAATCCAATGCCGGGTGATCCATCCAAGACAAGACTGGGTGAAAATCCGGAGCGGGATACGGAACAGGAGGCTTTAAACAGAACGGCCAGGTCAGACACTCCAAGCCCCGGACTCAGCAGGTCTGGACGCCGATCGGAAGCCTAAGCCCTCAAGCCGCGGATGTAGTGCGACTTGGTGGTAGACGGGCCTCCGGGCGTCCGTCTTCCAATGCAGAGCCAGGAATAGCAGGAGCGCCGGGATTAAATAATGAACGACAAAACAGGGGCAGGTGCACGTCATAGAGTAAAATACGAAAGGGTCGGAGCGCCCTTAAGAGGAGGGATGACGATCGTGACAAGGATATCTCCAGATCCTAAAGTGACAATTCTAGGACTGTCACCCCTATTTTTAAATTTGACTTTAGAGAAAATACACACATACAAACTGGGTTCTTTTTACACTACAATATATGAAGCTCAGAATGAGATTTTGCAAATGATGTGAAACAAATTGTTTTTTTGAAATTACTGTTACGTTCACGAAAAAGTCACTGTAGCGCATTACTTTAGAGCAAGAATCCACACAACAGACACAGTTGTTCAATATTTTATTGTTATGGATTTGGAAGTTCTATAAATAAATAATGTTACTTTTTGCAAAATATACAATAGAATATAATAATAGAATAACTATTATAGAAGAACCTAGCGTATTCGACATGTTTATCATTGTAAAACTGTGAAGTTATCTTTCATCAATGAGACAGAAGTATAGGATAATAGACTTTATCTGTGAGTTTTATAATTATGCTACATTCCCTTATTTTTCTGAGGCTTTTGTAGAAAAACAGATTCTTTTGCATTTGTCAAATTTACTTTCTGGTACAACACACAATGCAGTACTTGTTCAAAACCCATACATTGAATATAGCTAAATATAATCAATGTTTTGAAATCACAGAATAGGAGTAAACAGAACACACAATATTTGCACACAATATTAATGACAATTTACGTATGATTTAAACTTGAAATCCTTAAAATTCTACATACTTACAAAGTACTTGAAATATAATGCTAATATATTTTATATCCATTGTCAAGTACTTGTCATAGGAGGTATTTCCTTGAATAATCGAGCCCTCGGCTGATGTCTTTTAGCTCTGCTACAGTTCAACAGAAAGAGACTTTGTGAGGTGCCACTGGGAGATGAGATGTTAGTCCCAGCTGACGTCAACTGGATAGACTGAGCTGAGCTGTCAGAGTTGCTGTTCAGATTCTTTAACTCCAGTTAAAGACATGTTTGCTGGAGAAACATAAAGTTGACATTAATCTTTTATCTGAAAAGAATAATTTATGCAAGTGAAAATACAACGTGTTGCAATGATATATATTTTTTGCTGATAAATATTTTATTTTTAATACTTAAAATATACAGTAATAATATACAGTAACAGAATTCAATTACACAAAACAAAAATACACAACAATACACTCTGTACTCATGTGTAATAGGTATAATTATTTTAACAAATTGATTTACAATTTTCTATTTATAAAAGGGGCTATTCAGTCTTGATTTGCTCAGATTTAACAGCAGTATATTCTTTTCAGATTTATCGACATTACAGGACCTCTGATCTCATCATTTCTTCTTGGTTTGGTAGTTTATAAAACTGCAAACTGGATAGAACAATTCAGAAAATACATTACGTTTTCTATCAGCTTTGCATTTTTCAGGGTCTTCTGGGACTTCTGGGACTGTTTTCTTCCTGATGCCTTTGACTCTGTTCCTGTGTAGGCTATGAAGTGTATAAGTGTGTAGATTCTGAAGGAACCAGAAGATACGGACATGTGAAGTTAATAAAGATCTTAGAAGGCTGTTAAGAGTTCTTCACTCTGGATGGGGTGTAAAGGAGTTTAATGAATTGAATATACTTATTCGGCCAGACTGCAACTACTACAATTACAAAAATAAAACAACAAGGATCTGCATTAAGGACAAGAAGCTGCAACAAATTAAAGCAGTGCAAATCAAGGAAGAAACTGGGATTGGGATGGCTGTTCTATTAAATTGGAAGACCTACATTCAATGGTAAAGAGATTCTAGGATGGACAGTAATGAATGAGAGCAGAATGTGAAAAATAAAAAAATGCCTAAACCTTTGGAAAGTGGTAACAGACGTACCTGTGGTATCCCATAGCAATGAACTGAATGAGCAGCAGGCCAGCAAAGGACAACAGGAACATCAGCCCAATTGGATCTATAAAAATGTTCTGGTCTTTTGCTATTGA